GAATAATGACTTCCTACCTTATTTAGAAAACCAACAGCAATAGCAAAAAAATGCATCCAAGGTACACTTGTATCATGAAACATATTTCCAATCATCAGCATCTTTTCAAGTTCGAACTCACATAAGCAAATTCCCAACCAGCGAGTGAATAGTTCTGCTCGATCTATATGTTCAGAAGTTCCAAACTGCACCACAAAATCCAGTGTTATTTACTATTATCATACAAACTGGAGAATTATTACCTGTTTCAAAAGCACTTTCAAATAGCCAGGTGTAAGTCCACATTGTGCAACAGTTGGTGGAATTTCGATTCTGGTTTTGGCAGGAGGCACGTTGCCTTGGGCCAAACAACGAAAATAAGCAGCAGACCATCGCAACAAATCAAAAGGCTGAGTTCTTATTGCATCTAAAAGAACGTTAAATTTAATTTCTGGTTGTTCTTGTAATTAAATAAAATCAAAGCCGTATTTCAAATTTTGGCGCGTCATAAAATCAATGGCACAAGTCGTTTGTACATAAGAAAAAATGTTTCAAATTCATCTAAAAAGTGCATTTAGTACTAAAAATTGTCATAATTATCAACTAACACTTATTAATTAGTTTATTATTTTAAATAACCAATTCTTTACAAACAATTTAAATACTAAATTACATAACTTTACCTTTGGCATAAGCCTTCAAAAGATGAGGAAACCTTGGCGGTACAAAGATCTGCTGAGAGCAATACAATTGTTCAGGCGGCCCATTCATTTTGGCAGTATTTGTAACATATTAAATATAACTTTATAAAAAAATAATTTGATAAAATGTCAGAAAAATTTTGAGTTTGTACTGTTTATATATTCTGTTGCCATGGCGAGCGATAGATTTTATAGCTTACGAGGAGACTGTAGTAAATAGATTTTAATTAGATTTAAAGGAAAGTGTGAATAAATATAGTTTTATATACTATTTGTAAATTTTATTTGTAATGTAATTTGTAACCGGAGTAATGTTTTTTTATAAAAAATATTATTCGTGCCATATAATTTTGGAAAACATTCCATCTGCAATGCTTTTCTTTCAGAACAATGTGGTATATGCATTTTTCATTTTTAATTCATTTTTTTAAAATAAATCAAATTTTGAATAAGTCATCAATAATTATGTAACGATGAACAAAATATATGTATATGGTGGCATTCAGTTCGAACGCTTTTGTTGATTATACGAACGAAAATTGTACAAATTTATACAAATTATACAAAAAAAACAGAATTGTCATACAAAATTGATCATATTGGATTCCCTCGAAAAAACAATGATTTTCAAAAAATATTTTCCCGGCCATATTGGCAAAATTTGAGTTTTATATGGGTTTTATATTGATAAAAAAAGAGGTGTAAAAAATGGTTAGTAAAAAAAAATATTAATACCATTTAAATGAAGAAACGCTTATTGTCTACAAATCTTTAATTAAAAATTGTATAATTAAAACCACATGTAAATTTAATTCAATAAATCGTCTAATTTTTGTCAGAACATAGTCAAACAATTTCAACTAAATCGCGCGTAATCAATTCCAATTTCTAATAATAAATAGAATATTGTACATATAGGACAATTAATATATCCCAGAAGATCTAGTAGGTGATAATCACATGACCGAAAATTTTCCGCTTTCCACATTATGAACATTTCTTGTTGTGGATCGTCAATTAATTCAGCATGTTATTAAACTGATGCATAATGAATAAATATTTTACTGCGACAGCAACTGCCTAAAATATAATATAAAATGGTCTATATTAGAAAAAATACATATAAATGTAATATAATGATTAAATATTAAGCAAAAATTTAAACCACATTAACATTATTATTTTATTTAAAACAATGAATCAAAAATTAAATTTACTTCTGTAAGCAATCAGAGTCATGTACATTATTTATCAATACACGCTTAATGAAAAACTTACATTAATAAAAGAAATGATAAGATTTTGTTACGTTTAATTTTAAATTATTTTTAACAATAAATGCTTTATCGAATGACATTATACTATAAAAATACTAATATTTACAATGTTATTTTATTAAATGTAAAATTCAATAGGTCAATTAGAAATACCTGAACCACGTGGGTAATATCGAATAGAATAAAATTAAACCCAAAGCAAATAATTTTATAAATACTTGGTCTATCAATTTCAATAAATTTGAAATAAATTTTGAGAAAGTTGGGTGTAGTCAATTACACAAAAAAATCAAAGATTTCCTCTGAATGATTTACTATTACGAAAAAAAAAACTTTATGAAAACTCTCAGAATTCCATAGCAACATTTAATAGAAAGACTATGTATGGACAAAGCGATCTTCGTTTAAATTCAAATATTCTAAATATTTTAAGTACCCTGAATTTTTAAATGATAAAATACCTTAATTTATTAAGTAAAAATTACAACTTACCCCGTGAATCAGCGTAAAATCGAGAGGCAGAATATTACTACAAGTAAATTTAGATTCTCTATGTTGCATCTGCAAAATAAACGACAGTAATCTTGATTTAAAAACTGCAGTTGTATTTCCATATTGGATTGTCCGAAATATAACAGTACAGCTGAGTTTTTGCTTAAATATAAAAACAATTAAAAAATATTAAAAACTAAAAAACTGATTTAAAATTAAAAAAAAACACAATGTAATAGATACTTTTGCACATGATATATACTTAAAATCAAATTAGGATAAATTGAAAATTACATCGTCATAGCTATATGAACATAAACCGACCAAACTCCAAAAAAGTTAAGTAAGTTAAAATATGTGTCTACCACTCGCGAAGAATAAGCGAAGAATAATATAAACGTTTTATTAACGTAACCATCGTAACGTCGTTTCTTCTGTGCTACGTAGTTTTAACGTTTGTGGTTTATTGGATACAAATTCAATTTAATTCAAAACAATTTAATTTCTGAACCTGAAGTTTTGAAAATAAACCAATAAAGTAGATATGATTATGAAATATATTTTTAAAATAAAATTATCAATTATCACTTCTCACCTGCAGTACACATTTCTCAGCCATCACAGGTAATACAAACATTCCAATTTGATTATATGCCTGCCACCAGAATAAAAAGCTCATAAAAACAGATTCTGCTTCAATATTTGAAGAAAGTAGCAATGTTGTGATTATAGAGTATGAATCAGTTATCGTCCAAACAAAGTCCAGTATAAGACATACATATGCTAATATTCCAAATTCTCGATTTATATTTTCTATCAAATCACTTAGTTCATCGTGAATTTTTAGAAAAAGATGTACTTTTTCATAGATATTATCACAAACTTGCGGAAGGTATAAGAGATTGTGATCACATTTTTTTAATAGGCTCTTGAACTTTGATTTTAAATTATCATTTATGTAGGTGAAACGTTGGTATAATAGATATAAAATGCTTATGTAAAGGTATAAAAAAGCATTTATTTGAATGTAAGGTAAACAGTAAAGTGTATTCAAAATAAATCCACGCACTTGCCCTAACAAACCAGCATTTCTTATTCCAAAATAAACAGCCAAAGAACCAATATTGAATAAACCAAAAACAAAAATCGTAAATTGCCTAATTAAAACAGTGCGATACAGTAAACTACTATCTCTCCCGCATAATTTTAAATCCAACTTTTGAACTTCACCATAGAAATAATCCAATTTATTAATTAATGCAAGAAACCAGAATTGTATATTTATTGTTAACACCAGGCCGATGCTAAGTTGCGCGAATTGTCCAGCGTATTCAACCTGGTCACTAACATTTTCGTACTGAATGAATCTGCCATAATTTAAATTGTCATATAAACCAAAAAAATAATACAAAATAATTCCTAGAACTATCACAAGCCACAATCGTTTATTTCTGGACCGACCAGGAATATGCATATCGCAAATTCCGCTATATTTCAAAACAGAAAAAATAATAATGTTAGATTCGTATAAGGTTGAAGGTGAAAATCTTTTGGAAAATCGCGTAACATAATTTTTTACCATATTTTTTTTAAACTTCTAATTTATTATTGCGCAATACGCAATATATTTTCGATTAATCATAGTTTTAAAACCGACATTTGACAAAACTTATGATGAAGTATATTTTGATAAACTATTATACTAATGGGATTGTTATGATAGATAGCTGCTAATTAACATTCAAATAAATAAAGCGGATTCATTCATTATTCATGCTTTCCTATCATTAATAGCACCAATTTCACGTGCATACGTTTTTATTTTTAGAAATAATTTATTGAATTGAACTACTGAATTGAAATTATCTTAAACACAATCGTTAGGACATAAATATAGTTCTCAATAATGCTAGCCATCTTGTATTGAAGTAGCCTAATAACATCGAAAAATGTTTCAACAAAGCTCAATTCTAAAATTTCATTAACTCCAAAGTTCTTTGATGATATTTTCTTCAACTTCACAAATTATGTTTATAGTGAATAAACTCGATAAGTTTCGTCCCCTGTGTTTTTGTGCTAAATATGATTTCAATAGATCATTTCAAGTATCTTGCATATAAAATTATTGTTGTTTTCCAAGTTTCAAGAATCATAAAACATTCTTGTAGACTTTTGCATATTGATTAAATCTATGCATTTATTGTTCTTTCTTATAATTTTACTCCAGTTCTGTAATATTCGATCATAATTACTCATGTCCATTATGAGTAAAATTTTTAAACCTTTTAACTTATTATGAATATTCTGAAATGTATATAATAATCCACACTAATTATAACTTACATTCCTTCTTTGTGTCCAGTATAAGAGTCTTCAAAAATTAAGTTCTTGTTTGGAGCTTGTAAAACTATTTTGTGAAATTTGATATAAGATTTGTTTCTATTGAAATCATTTATTGACCAAAAAAATCCATAACTAATATAACAGATAATCAAGAAAAATGTAAAAACAAATTTATAAGTTCAATTCACAAATATATTACAGCTTTGTAATTATAACTAGACTATTTGATTGTTGCACATAAAGGAATTGTACGCACTGGTAGCCGGGTAAAATAAAATGCTTCTAATGACTCGACACGAACTATTACTACGATGTGAATATAGATTTCACGACTTGACTTCACAGGGTCCTTTTGTTCCCGGCGTAAATAATGCATTTACATCTCGTTCACAATTTGAATAAGCTAATCCAATTCCAAAACCTCCTCCCAGAATTATTGGCCACTTTTTCCTTTTGAAAAATAATACAGAGAACACTGTGCCAATAGCTATACCACCACCTGAGGACAATGACACATTTGGTAAAGAAAAAGTTAGAAGAAATGTAACTTTAGGTCTTAACAAGTTTGCGTTTGTGAATGGTATAGCATTCATTTTCATTGTCATGCAGAATGATGTGGATGAAGCATTTATCATATATAATATATATAATGTGATGATCTGACTACCAATATAATGAGAATATTTTTATTTACATTTTAATACCTAATAGTGAAATTTCTTGCTTGCTCAAAACTTTTACTCTTTTTTTTAATTAATTTATGCCTTAATTATGCCATATAGTCATTTAATTAATTGTTGTGATGAGTATTAAATCAAATTTCGGATATAACAACCAATTTGAAAATAAAATAACCCAATTTTAATACATTGCTGAAACCTTTACTGTCCATGAACATGTTAAGATTCCACAAGATTATCAGCCTATTCGATGAGCAATTAATTCATCGAGAATATATTAGTTAAATAAATAATTTTTCTGTTACCAGATCTAAATAATCAGATGCTCTTTATAACATGTGATGATTTCAAAGTATTTTTGAAGTATCATTGTTGTTCTATCAATTCAAAAATATAACTGCTATTTTAATTACAAAATGACAATGGCAAATAAATTATTTCTCTGCAAAGCATTTGTATAACACCAAGTACAGCATAATAGCTTTATAACTCTAGAAATTGTGCTAAATGACATACTTATTATATGTTGATAAGGGTGATAAGTATACAAAGATGGCCTTAGTTAAAATATTTATTTTTATTAATTCAGTGCTCCATTTCTATTATATGGTAAGCTTCTATTTTGAATATTACGGGCATTGCTTAAGTACTTGTTTCTTATTATTAAGTGCACAAATTATAATTTATAAAAGAATGATAAAATACTAAATATGATTTGATTACAATAATCATATATAATATGATACATATGATTTGATTAGAAAATGGCTATAGTAAATAACTTAAATATTTGCAATATAAGAGAGCGGAGAGAGCTAAATGACTTAAATATTTTGCAATATGTGTCACAGAAATAATAAAATTAAATGTATCGACTGAGGCCATCTTTAAATACATGTTGTCTTTTTAAATATATAATGAGAATGTCAACTTTCTGGCATAATTTTTAGAGGTGTAAAGCTTTTTTATTATGCTGTACTTGATGTTATACAAGTGCTCCCTTATGTTGCAGAAAAATAAGTCATTTACCATTGCCATTTTGTAATCAAATCATATATATCATATCATATATGATCATTGTAATGAAATCATATATAATAATATATCATACTTTCATATATCATAGTTCGTGCACTTGAGACAAGTACTTGAGCAAAGCCCGTAATATTCTAAATAGAAGCATTTCATATAATAGCAATGCATTACATAATTAATACAAATTATACAGACTTCGTGTAAGTACTTGTTACTTATTGTTAAGTGACAAATTATGATTTATAAATCTGTAAATTGATTACAAGATATATGATTTGATTACAAAATGGCAATGGCAAATGCCTTATTTCTCTGCAATATGGGGAAGCACTCGCATAACACCAAGAACAGCAAAATAAAAAGCTCTATTACTTTAAAAATTTTGCTAGCGAGTTGACATACTTATTATATGTTCATAAGGGCAATATTTGTATAAAGATGACCTCAGTTAATGTATTTATTTACATTTTTCTTATAAGGAAGGCTTATATTTGGAAGCCTACAAGCATTGCTTAAGTACTTGTTACTTACTATTAGGTTAAGCAAAAATGTATTATTACGACCTAAATTCAATGATAAAATTTAAGCCAAATAATAACGAATCCTAATTAATTAAGATATGCTTACCAAATTTAATTAAGCCATCTTTCATGCATCGGTCCCATCTTCGGCTTAGCTCATCTTCGACATGGGTTGACATTGTGAAATTATTACTAAAACGTCCAAAATGAGAAAAACAGTAAAACCATTAAAATTTTATATAAACATTGAACAAAAAAATGTTTTAAAATATATTATAAACGATCATATTACCTCACAACTTTCTTTTTTTATGCAAAACGTCAAATTGAATTGACGTTTCATGCGGTTGCATAACATAACCTCATAATAGATCGATGGCTATTGAAGTGCATGAAGTTGCTTCAACTTGAAAGACTTCGGCGCTGCCAATCGTGAAAATTTTAGAATTTTGAAATTTTCTAAACCATTGTTTTTAAGTCAGGGTTGATAAACCCATCATGGTCACGTCAACTTTCAAACAATAAAAATATGGCCCAAAACAATAGAATCATAATGCAAGTGAAATATTGTTTTAGGATATACCATGCGTCTAATATAATATTTTCAACAAATTTGAAATCTTTTATACAAATAGGTGATTTATAAATTACTTAATGCATGATTTTTTTCATAAACTTTATCACAAAATAAAAATTATGATTAAATTTAAAAAACATAAAGCTTGTTGATTTACGTATTTGCACAGTATCGTCTTGTGTAATTCATTTTGTTTTCTAGACAAAATATTTCTCTTAATTTTATAATTTTGATTTGTGAAAATAAGGTAACTAAATTATCTTGAAAAACTTATTGCTATCAATCATAATATATAATACAAAATCGCTTTCATTCATTAATGATTTTTCTTAAATACTAAAATTTTTGTTAAAATATATATTAAGTTTATTTTATTAAATGCAAAATGAATATCTTTTCATAGAAACGTGACAAAGAGGTTAAGAGAATTCATATCATCATATATTTATTTTTTGAAAGTTTTTTTGACGTTGAAACATCTTATTAAAAATTAAATTTTAGGCGTATTAGGTTTATTTTGATACATACTATATATACATACATATATATACATACATATATATACATATATATATATATATTATATATATATATATATTAAACAATGCTATTCTTAGCTTGAAACTACATTCTACATCAAATTTACTTTGGAAATCATTGGAAATGACTATATCTCAGGTCTCAAATATCAAAGTCTAATTTTTCCTTTTTATTTTGGAACTTTAATTTGAATCTATACTTTTCCATTCACAAAACCTAGAATCTTACACACACATATTATATATAAACACAAATATATATACATATAAATATTATATATATATATATATACATTATATTTTTTTAATTAAATATCCTTATATGTATTATAATGTTTTATTGGTACAGATATACACTATGTTGTACATAGATTATAAATAAATATATTTCTATAAATTAATTAAAATCTTTGATTTTTATAAATATTTTCTCTAAACTATATATACATATTATTAATATAATGAGATTTTTCAATTTGTCAACAATTTATTAAAACTAACAACTTTATATAGATCTAAAAGATCATAATGGCTGTAACACTTTTTAAAGAATTTAAAACATATTTTTTCAAAAGATCACAATAATTATAAAATAATAATTGATAACATAAAGTTGGTTCAATTTATGGCTTAATGAACTTTGTCTAATTAATAATTTTTCTACAAAACCTCCTTAACATAATTTTGATAATCATTTTTCTTCATTTCCAATTCGGGGTCATTTAAACCATAGAACCAAAAACTCTTCTGCCCCTGGTCAGAACCAGAGAGACAACGATGACAGTGACCAAAAAAACTACGAGACAAAGGAACCAGGCAAATGTCCTGCACATACATCTCTGCTTTTTGCTGGTTCTTAACTTTTTACTCAAAAGTTCTTGGCGTGGCATGTCTAATGTGAAATCTGCTTCTGGACGACCTCCTGAAGGCTGAAAAATAAAAGAAAATTAGTAAAAAATAAAATATTTGTAAAATATGATTAAAAAGTTCCCACTTGATCTTTAGTAGTATGTAAGTAACTTAACGAGTTTTTGAGTTGACTTTTTACAGCGACTTAAAAAAATTCAATAAAATCAGATGTAAAAACTATTTTTTTTAAATGACTGGCTATTTTTATAAATTTGTAAACAAGTTTATAAATTAAAACGATTTATGAACAATATACTAAAATAATTCCCTGGTCTTCAAGATAAATGTATAATTCATTAGATGATTCTAAACAAGGTTAAACTTAAACTATTTTACGTTCGGATAAGTTACTCACAAATCATGCAAATTAGTTCTGCATGCATTCTTGTAAGACGTCATATAAACAAATTTCTGTTTGTTTTAACTTACATCATTGATATATTAATAATAGACAAATAACATATGATCTACAATATTTAGTTATATATCGATATGATTTTTTTTTATTTTTTTAAATAGCAAGCAGAGTTTGAAAGTTTTATTAGATGTCGTGGTGCTACTTCCTAACTGCAAGGGCTTTGTTTAGAAATCAATCTGAGGTTGTTCTATTTTGATATAGTTTTATGATACACTTTTACTTAATCCAGCAATGCTGGTCAGGACTATTTTCACTTGGAAACATTTTTTCACCTGTATTCTCAAATTTTATCAGGATTCAAAGCATCAGTAAATGCAGAATCAATGATAAAAATCTGTATTTTATATTTTACTGGTCAGTATAAAAACCCTCAATGTCAAAAAAAAATCTATCAACCAAGTTTGTTGTACTTAAAAATATTGATCTTATATCAGATGAATTACATTAAAATAATCTAGTTCAATTACACCGAGGAGTGCGGATCGTTTAAAGATAAATAAAACTAGTGTTATATACCTGAGTAATAGAAATATTGAAGGCAGTTCTATGGATTATAAACCATTCGAACCGGGTGGATTACCGGTTTCGACAGGTATAGATAAGAGGATTAACAGCTCGGAAATCGAGACAGGTAGTCAAATAGTCAGGTCGATGAATATTATTAACGATGAGGAAATTTATATTGATGATGAAATGAATAGTGATAAGTCAGAGTTTTACGAATGTGATTACGAGCAACCTAATAACGGAGGTAATGAAGTGCAAAATTCAGCTAATAATCCGAGCAGTTCGAAAAATATAGTTAAGATAAATATCACAAATTTGGATAAGAATAAAGATATTAAATATAAATCAGATAAAAAATTCAAACGTAATTCGAATAAAAAGAAGTTCAATATATCGGAAGAATTAATTAAAAAAATTGTAAAAATCGAAACAAAGGATGGTGAAGTGTTAGTGTTAAATAATAATAAAAATAAAGAAACCCCAAGTTGTGATGCGAGTGTAAATAACAAAAGTTGGAGCGAAATGATAGAAGAAGAAACCATTGCAAATAATGAAGAAAATAACTTTTATAATTCGAATGATGAAGGACCATATACAATATTTGCCGAAGCAATTGACAATAACATTGGAAGATTTCACAATCTAGCATTGGGAAGAATGTTATTCAAACAAGAACCAAACATAAGTAAAAATATCATAAATATAACAAAAATTGGAAAAAATAAAATCAAATTATTATTTAAAAATTACACGTATGCAAATAAACTAATAAAAGAAAAAATTCTTGAAAAATTCAAAATAAGAACGTATATTCCGAAACACAAATTATATAGAAGCGGAATTATTTTCAATGTTGATCCGGACATGGATGAGCAGGAAATTAAGGAAGTGATCAGATCAGATATTGAAGTAGTAGACATCAAATGTATTAAAAAAAGAAATGTAGATAAGCAAAATCTAAAAAGTCAAGCGGTTAAACTGGTATTCAGAGGAAACTACTTGCCAGAAGTTATATCAATGTATTCTGTTAGATGTCCTGTTAGTCCATATATTCAATCAGTGATACAATGTCATAATTGCTGGCGGTTTGGACATATAAAAATGAATTGTAAGAGCAAAATAAGATGTAAAAATTGTGCAGCTGAACATTCCCACGAACAATGTCATATCGCCACAGAGTTTGAGTGTACTTTATGTCGAGAAAAGCACCAGGCAAATAACAAAGAATGTAAATTCTTTAAACTAAATAAGGAAATAAAAGAAATAATGGCTCTTCACAATATATCATATTTAGAAGCAAAAAGGATGATTCAGAAGAATCGATATGTGGATGCAGTTAAAAGCAACCCATACAATCTGGAATATAACTCATCATTCCCAAAACTAAGGAGTAATATAATTATGAACAACTATAATAATAAATATGAGATATTAAATACATTAGAAGAACAAGAATTAAATATCGAAAAAGACAGATTAATGGTAATTAAAAAACCAAGAAATATTATAGAAAAACGCCGATCAGAATACTTGAGACATATCGGCCGAAGTAATAAAGAACAAGTATCTCAAAAGAAAACCCAGGAATTCGATGTCATGGACAGTAATAAAACGAATAAGATTGAAGAAAATAAAAGACAACTAAATCACTTCATAGAACTGGCAATGAAGTTAAGGGAAAAAATAGAATCTGAGAGAAACAAAGATTGCAAAGAATTAGAGGAAATTATATATAATCTGAAATACGATATCCACACCATTGGTAAATATTTAAACCAGGCTAATAAAACAGATAAAGGCATAAGTAATGTAAGTCAAGTAAATAACAAAGGATGTGAGGATAATTCTAACGGAAGGTAGAAGATATAGAAGACTCCCTTTAGATAGCATCTGCAAATTAAAAACCAATAAACAAACATGGACAATTTTAATATACTTCAACTAAATTGTAGGTCATTACTAGCAAACAAAGAAAGCATAGAAAGCCTGATGTACCATAAGAAAATTCATATTGCTGCTCTAACAGAAACTTGGCTGAAACAAGGACAAAAATTTAACTTCAAAGATTATAAAATATTTCGAAGTGACAGACAGGATGGTTATGGTGGCTCAGCCATACTGATCAGAAACAGTATTATCTGTGAGGAATTCAAACATTCTCAGAACAACCGGGATATCCAAATGACTGCTGTTATAATTAAATCGACTACCCCCTTTTGCGTGGTATCCATATATTGCTCACCTCAAGCCACAAAGGATTTATATTTAATCCGAAATCTTATTGAACAAATTCCAGTTAGACTAATCGTCACCGGAGATTTCAATAGTAAACACATAGCATGGGGAAACGAAATAATAGACAGTGGAGGTGCTATAATGTACGATATTGTAGATAGTCTTAACTTAGTTGTCTTGAATGATGGAACTCATACGACTATACAGACTATTAAGAAAAAATCTTC